AAAGATGTGACATTTCATTCCATTTACCTCCCTGCTCTTTATTATTCTCTCTTTCACATTTTATTTTAAAGCCTACTTGAGAGCAGACCAACGGACACTTAGATATCTGAATTAGTTTTCGCACCTTTCTAAAATACCTTCACTACTTTACAGTTACCTAGTATGATAAAAGCCCTAGTAACATTTATGCCTTTCTCTAACACATCTATCAGCAGTTTCATGTATCATATCTTCCAAACCTCCCAGTTCAAGACTGGCCGGTCTACTGCCATCTGTCTCCTTCTTCTGTATGCTAAATTTGGTACTATCTTTTTCCCACTGGCCACTTAGCCAAGCCCAGCTGCTCATAGCTGCAACAGAGGAAACATGTTTGTTTGGTTTCAGGATGGCATCTAGATAATCTGTCACCTTTACTTTGCCCTATGCACATTACATTTCTTTCCTAGCTCTCTTGGTGGTTTAGACCTCAAATTAGAAGGCAAAATAAGGTCCAGAAACAATTGTGACCATTTGAGTTTCTATAATACTCATGCAAGAGAACTTCTTTTTCCTTTTACAAAAGTGAATATGATTTTTTGCATACAGCTGTGTTTGGTATTTAGCAAGGCAGCTCATGCATTTATTTTGCAAGGTTTTTTTTGGTTTTGTTTTTTAATGTATGCATTTTATCACAAATGACAAGGCCCAGCACAATTGAAGGAATTCATAGCTATTTAGAGGATTTATTTTTTTTTTTAGTTATTTACATACTATGGGGAATCCTTTCCAGAAAGGGAAAGAAGCAATAAGAAAATATAAAGCGTGCTGGGGCTGCTATCTCACTGTATTTGGCAGAAGATGCCCCTGTGCTGCTTTGCAAGAATTTCCAAACCACTTAATGCAAGACAGAATTTGAGAAATCATTGAGACTCATAGCAAAATCTGACACACAAAATATTGCAATCTACTCTTGGGAAGTTTTAATGTAAGAGCCAAAGGAGTTGCATGAGAAGAGTTGATTAGGCAACGAGTTTGCCATGCTGACCAAAAGAAATCTTTCAATATCATCAAGTGATTTGTCCTCATGAGATATTTTCACTGTACCTGCCTTGGAACAAGCAGTGAGCTCCTCTGGAGTCCCTCCCAGCTGGGACCTGAATTTGTATGGCACATGTGTTTCATAGTATGCTCCATATTGCTGGTCACCGGGGACCTACTCTGGCCTCACACTTGCAAGTCAATGCACAAGACAGTTCATCCACCAGTTCTTTCAGTCATCCGGGCTAATTCCTCTCCTTTTAATTCCTGCAGGTTTCCTATGAACAGCAGAAATGCACCCAGACACTTTCCCATGCACAGGTCAGTTCAGGCTGATGACTCTCAAACAGTTCTAAAAGGTGGTGTCAAGATCTTTAATCACACAGGGTTCCCACAAACTGACATGACATAACGAGATATTTACAGGACAATATTTTACAAGTTAAAAATAGAGTCAGTCTTGGCAGAAATATGAATTATTCCTGCATTTAAATCTAGAAGGTAACCTTTCTTCTTGTAGGTATTCCAGTTGTAGATACATCCAACACTTTTCATCACTGCTTTCTAGTATCAATCCTCCATCGCTTAAATTGAGACATTTTAATCAACTGAAAATATACTGAAAATACAACACAAGTTGAAATTTTTTGAGAAAAGAAATCACTTAGCTTTTTTCTAAATTAACTTAGTGAAAAATAATGCTGGTTCATTCCTCTTAAAAAAACTCCTACATCTGTCACATGGAGCAACTTTAAGGAAGCTGGACAAAGGGTAGCCAGGATAAAGTATCTGCACCTCTGTCTGTACTCGTGCTCAGATTCTAAACTGTACAATTCTGCATATGTTGGATAAATTTTAGTTCAGATATGCAGAAATTAGGGCTAAGTCTCAGGTCTGTTAAATTGGCCAGGTAGACTTTGTTTATATTTTGCAACAGACCTACTGCTGCACCTTCTGGAAAAACATAGCTCATAAACCTGCTCTATGACAGGTTCTACAAACAGGTTCACAGCAGTTGTCTCAGGTTTAAGCATTTGTGCATACTCTGACCATGGTGTCCTGACATTTCCAATAATCTTTAAGTGGTCACCTTCCAGGCATTGGAACCTTTTCCAATATTAGAGAAAGCTGACTGAGACCCAGAATGTGGGCTTCCAAGGTTCTAGGTTTTCCTTCTAAATACAAGAGCAGCTTTTTGCCAAAATAAACACAGCAGATGCAGCTTTTCTTCTCTTTTTTTCCTGTGTTTGGGGCCGTACAACTTATACCCAGTCACCAGCATAGCTAATTAACACTGTGTTAGTCAGGAAAGAAAAAAAAGATAAGTAATATCAAAAGTACAACATCCTTAAAATGCCTCCTGATATTCACAACATGGACATTTTGATAATGATGACAACTCTGTCTTCATAAAGAAAGAGCTCATTATTTTTGAGATACATATTCCTACATCAATTTCTGAAAGGAAATGAATCTTACAAGCAACTATAATTGGAATGCTATCCTCTGCTCTCTCAATACTCATCAACAAAAAATAACAAAAGTGACAGAAAAATCTCTCAGTTGCAATATAAAGACTGCAACTGCCACTTGCTTGATATATATCCTCAAGAGAGGCCTGTGAAACATAACAAAAAGCCAAATATTCAGTTACTTTTACTAGAGATCACCAAAGGCCACCCACTAAAGCACAACCACCCACTTGGCCATCTTTCTAAAAAGCACTGAAGTAGTTCACCTTCCCAATGCATAACATGTGTTCAAACAAAGTTTTAAGATTTTTGCCTGACATCATGCTCATGATCACAACTAGGTATCAAGAATAGCAGTAATAGATTTTCACACGCCGTTTCTGTTTTTTCATTCATGCCTTTTCCTTGGCTTCACTTGATTGTTAGTTGTCTTGAACTGCACTTTTAAAAGTGTTTAGAGAACTAAAGCAATTCATCCAGGAGTATGAATTTATCTCAGAGCAGTCTGGTTTTTGTCTGACCTGCAGTTTCTCAATACCTCAGAAATCCATATTCATCTTCCAAAAATCAATATATTGCACACTCAGCAGCTGAGACAGTAGCAGCTGCTTACACAAAAGCGATACGCTTTCCTTTAAGAAGTTGTCAGGTCTAGGTATAAACATGGTACTTCATGACTCTTTGTCACAGCATGACCAAGATGTGTACAAATGGTGGCTTTTAAGAAAATGAAACTCAAATGCACCTCCGGGTATAAGGGGGTGCTAGGTCCAAATCATCTAGAGACTACATATCTAGAGAGCAACAGAGTCAACATGAACATCCAAACCTATAAACAACCCGAGAAACTAGAGGCTCTGAACAACCCCACTGGCACATGAAGCAGATATTAGTCAGATTTTGTGGTACCTGGAAACTTTCCATGTAGAACAGGAAACTCTTTAGATCTTTCTACATCAAACCATATCAGAAAATAAAAAAGCAACAGGAACTCAGCACATTGAGGATCTGAGTCTGCTCCCCACGCACACACAGATCGCTAGGGCAGTGTAATTGCACCAACCTAACCGGCTTTGCGTACTAGTTATACCTTGCACGCAACACAGTCAACATGTTCTTGTACCGTGACTGCTTGTCTAGGATTTCTGGATTGCTACACATCTGAAAATCCTGGACCAATTACAAAAACTGACAGAAAAATGCGAGAGGGGAGCAAACAACCTGTAATGGCAACCTGTCACAAAGTGCAGCAGCTCTGACAGAGGTACTTTAACTTTGAGCTTTTCTAACAGCAATTAACCCACCATGACATTAAGCCACTGCCCATATTCATCCTTGATCTTTTCTTTCCCACTTAATTGCTGAAATATCTTTCTCCAGCTAGCTCTGCAAACCAGATCCATCGACATTTATGAGATTTCCTTGTGAGGTACGGACATTCGCCAGCACGCTAGCAGAGGAAGATCTAGGAAAGCTTACTAGATCTACTAAAATTTCATACTATTAATAGTATTATACAATAACATAACTTTTTATATATAGCCCCAAGGCTAAACATATCAAAATGAAGCACAGCTGTTTCAGTGGAACACAGCAGCTCTGTTCACTCATCCCAGCATTGATTTCACACCGGGGACCGCCTCAAGCGTCAGCCTGGGATATTTACTACCAAAACATTGATGCGCTGCTCCAGCCAAAAGGGGAAGCAGGAGCTAGCCCTGGGAAAGAGTGGGTTGAGTGAAAATCCCTTTAGTTGTAGAATAGAGATGGCGCGGCTAACGCACACATTCATCCCTTTATTGCTATGTGTTTACATCAATTGCTTAATCACCTCGCGCTCCACAGCCACCATCCCACACACAAGACTTCCCCTTGGAAAGCGCCGCTGAAGAGCACATGCTGCCCAAGGCTGCGCTGGTCCCAAGGTTCGTGTGCCCCACAGGATATCTCTTCCCTTGGAGAAATATGCGTATGCGTACATGTATATGTGTGTGCGTGTGTCTCTGTGTGTGTAGGGAAAAGGTATATATAGATAGGAAAAGGTGTGTATATATAGGGAAAAGGTGTATATATAGGGAAACGGTGTATATACAGAGAAAAGGCGTGAGGCTCCGCACTCGCACGGCAGTAACCCCGCAGCCTGGGGAGCCTGGCCAGACTCTGCTCCCCAGCGCCAGACGAAACCCGCCCCCCAGACGGCCACGTCCGGGCCGCCTCGGGGATGGGCCGCCCGCCGCCCCGTCGCCGCGCCCCCGACTCTCCGGCGGCTCCCGGCAGGCGGCAGGCAAAGGAAGCGGGCCCGGGCCGCGGCTGCTCCCCCTGGCGGCGGCGGGCGGCAGGGCGGGGGCGGTGCCGCCGCCAGGCCGTGGCCCCGCCGCGGCCGCCCGAGGAGCCGCCGGGGCTGGCGCTTCCCTGCCCGCCCCCACCCGGCGCTCCCTCCCTCCGTCCCACCCTCCCCGGCCGGGCAGCAGGAAGCGGCTCTGATGTCAGCGGCGGCCGCGGCGCTGCTGTGAGCGGCTCTCCCACCCCGCCGCGGCCCCCTCGCCCGCTGCCGCCGCTGGGGCTGGCGGAGGCGCCCGGCTGCGGCCCCGGGGGCGCCGCCTTCTCTCCGCCGGGGACGCGCGGCCGAGGCGGCTCCCGAGCAGAGGCCGTGGCCTAGGGCCGCCGGCGCGGCGCCCCGCGGGGGTGCGGGCAGGCGCGGGATGCGCAGCGGCGGCGCCGGGGCCTCTGCCTGCCGCCACTGAGCCCCGCGGCCAACGCGGATGCGGCCCCGGCGGCGCCTCGGCCAGGCCCGCCCCCACCTGCGCCCGGAGCCGCCGCCGCGCCCCGCGTAGCCCCGGCCCTCGGCTGCCCGGTGGCAGATCCTCGCGTAGGCCCGGCCCGGGCCTCTCCTCCCCGCGGTGAAAGAGGAGGCATGTCCGCTGCCGCCTCCGCTGAAATGATTGAAACCCCCCCGGTCCTCAACTTCGAAGAAATCGACTACAAAGAGATCGAGGTGGAAGAGGTGAGTGAGGGCCCCGCCGCCCCTCGCACACCCCTCGCTCTCCGGGCGCGGCCAGCCTGGCCCCTCCGAGCGCCCCCGGTGTTCCCCTGCTCGGCGCCGTCCCACAGCCGCGGGAGGGGTCGCGGGGGCTCCCCGGGTGCTTCCTGGGACCCCCCCGTGTACCTGGCCGGGGTTCTGTGCTCCCCTGGATGCTGCAGCGGCTGGCACCGGCGAACAAAGGCGGTCTGGCTGGGATTGGACGTGCCAACTTACTTCTGCCAGCCCTGGGGTTTTACTGTGGGGTTTTATTTAAGCGAGATAGATTTATTCGAGAGTTAAAATTTCGCCGCCCATTTTGCCACCCACTTTAGTATGGGTGGCAAACACTGTTGTCAGGCGCTGTCACAAGAGGGAACTCTTAATTCTGATGTTTCTTTCGGATCTCTATTTCTGTATGCCCCTTCTTTTGCCTTCTGCCACCATTGCACGTATAATCATCATACCACTGTTAATGGTTTCCTAAATTTACAGCTCTATAAGCTGCAAGGATGAACAGGGTTTTTTTTCTTAACGCAGGCTAATGATGTTGCACTCATGAATATGTAACATTTCATTTCTGACCTGGATATGTGACCCGGGAAGTGACATTCACTTAATGTATAACACAGTTGAAAGCAAGTTTTTCTTCTGTAGAAAGTTTCACAGTAAAACTGTTGCCTTAAATTCTTTGGGGCTTAAATGGAATGGATAAAGTACAGAATTTCAGATGTACCTGTTGTCTGTCTGGGTTTCCTGTGAAATTAGGATGTGTGTGATCTGGAATAGTTTGCATGCTTTACTAAAGGGCTCAGTAGTATGTATGTATATTACAATGTTCGTTTAACGCTTAAAATCACACAAAAATATTGCTGCTATTGATTTTTTTTTCCTTCCTCCACTGCTAAGTTCTCTGCAAGAAAAGTTGCCTCATGTGGACCTATAATGAATTTGGTGAGGTCAGCTTGTAGAGTCTGGACCTAACAGGCATTGAAGACTGCTGAAACAGTCTCTGTGCTTTTATTTGTAGATTAACATCTCTCCCTTTCAGTAATAATTGCCCTCATTTTCTAAACAAGTTTATGTGGAAGTGAATTTAGTTTTGTGTAGTAGCTGTTAGAGGTATGACGACCTGTGTCTCACATTTTTAAAGTAGTTTGCTAGATCCTGGTTTGTTCATAATTATCATGCTGGGCTCACATGGGCTGGGGAGAGTTCACAGAACATAAAATCTATAATGTTTCCATAGAACAGCAGGGCACTTTGAGCTGTATTAGTGTTTTATGGTAATTTTGGCTTTCACCATAGTAGGCACTGGAAGTTCTCTGAATACAATATCTTCCAAAAGATTACCTTTATCCCTTTCTATGAATATGGCAATCATAAAGACTTTTGTCTCTTTAAGTCTAATTGGTCCGCTTCCCTTTATGCATTTAACTGTTCTGTATTTTTGCCAACCTTTTTGCAACACTTACTGATAGACAGTGATCAAATCACATGTTTTGGGAGAAATGGCTTTTCTCACCCAAAGAAGAAAATTTCAGTGGGTAAGAATTTATCCATCATAAAACGGTGCCCAGGGATGGCTCACAGAGGTGAGCAGCACATCTGCTATCTTAGACATAGCACTTGGAATTAGTAAAGAACTATACAAATCGTTACTCCTCACAACACCCTTGGGAAGGTTGTTAACAAGGATTATACTGCTGTTTTACGTATAGGAAGTGTGGACTTGCACAGTGTGTGGCTCGAGTTTTATCATTCTAAGGTTTGGCATTGGGAGCTTGTCTGCATCTCACACACATGCCTAGCACCTGCAGAGACAGGACTATGCACAAAAATGTATGTACAGATGATGCCTAAGTAAGAATTTCTTTAATGTGACTGTTGCATTATTCTCAAAGTAGTATCTCTGTTGGAAATGACAAAACTCGTGGCATAAGCAGGAGAACTCTGATAATGTGTTGTCTCTGTGAAAAATCTGATGACAGCTGGCATAGCATTTTAAGTTACATTCAGTATACCTGTCCTACCAGAAGTTCTTACAGGCAGTAGAGATTCCTTGTGCTGAACAGTCTAAATGTCATTGCACAGAGGAAGAAATAAGACCTACTTTACTGTAAAACAGATGAATTGGAGAGCATACTTAGACCTTGCTTTTCTCAGGTGTGGGTGTTCACCTCTTACTCAAGATGCAGTTTCAGTGGAAGTAGTCAACTTTGCAGTCATAACAAAACATACATCCTTTCTGAGGATTTTCTGTGCTCTCACTTCAGGCTCGGAAGTTTTCAAGGATTTCTAAATGGCTGTAGTGACTCAAAATGGTCAGATTTATGCTTGGCAAACTTCAGGTGTTTCAAAATGGAGTGTCAAGAGATCTACACTGGAAACTCAAATGCTTTTATAATCATAGCTTTGCTGTTGTATTATCGAGTCTGTCTTGTCAGCAGATAGCAGTCCCACTCTGCCACTGGTTTATTAATAGATATTGAAGTTCTGGAATACTTGCAGGCCCTGAGTCCTTGCTAATAAATGTGAGATCTGTAAGTGCACTTTTATTTAGATTTGCCTGAACTCTACTGGATAATATAAAAAAATATACCATATTTTGCATTAGCTACCATGCACATATAGTCTGTGTTACTTCCCCCCTGTTAAACGTGTCTCCAGCTTCAGGCTGCCTTTTTGTTTTTTCAAGTTCTTAAAATGAAGTAAAATGTAGAGACAATTATGAATGAGTTGGAGTCAAATAAAAATTGATATGGCACAGTAGGAGCATCTTCAAAACAAGAAGGGTATAAACAACATAACAATTGCGTTCAGCCGAAATGTTCCCTATTTTACCATGCAAGTTTTTGTCTGTGGGAATGTCCTTGCAAGTTTTTAGGTATTAGATAGACAAATCATTAGAAACGGAACAAATAAAACCTAATATAACTGAAATCAAGGTAACAATAACAAGCCTAATAGCCTTATTTTAAAATCTCATGTTTAAATCTAGCCTAAATACTCCTGTCTCTTCTTCCCAGAGGAGCTTCCACATCTAGGCAACAGACTTTGGTTTTGAATTGTTCTGGCAACCTGCTCCCTGCTAGTCTTTCCTGAAAATTCCACAGCCCTTCCTCCATTATGTCACTGGATAACAGTGCCATACATGACCAAAATGTCGACTTCATCACATGATGTTGTGTATGCCTTGGATCGCACAGCCAAAGGTACATGTCTGGTCATGTATGCTGTGGTTCTGCCCAGCCACTGGCTGATTTAGCCAGGTTGAAAACCATTGCTATATTTGTGCAGTTGCAAGTTACTTTTGAACAGCATGGAAGTGTAAATTATTTGAAAACTGTCATTTGAATACTGCTGGTATATTGCAGTCTACACTGATATTTATTTTCAACAATATGCTAGGGCAACAGTAGTTAATTCTAAGGGAATTATGGTAATGTTTTCTTAAAGATGGAAAGCTAAACTTGTAAGTATTTATTTTAGAAAACCTGCTTAAGGTCCCAGCAACTAAGGAGATGCAATTTATGACACATTCACACAGTTGAATAATTTCATTAACTGAGTAGTGTGCTGAGAACTGCATGTGTTCCTTACAATTATGGAGCAAAGCCATTCAGAGGCAAGAGAATGAGCAATACAGTGAGACAACTAGGTTTTGCTCCCTTTTATAGCACTTAACTTTCAGAAGTTCATGAGGTGTGGTGACTGGTTATGTCCATTACACTACAAGGAAAAGCTGATATGCATAAGCTGCTGCTGAACATGGAGTTGTTTCTACCTCCGTTGTTTTTATGTCCTGGGAGATCACGTCCAGTTGTAGAATCATGATTCATGGCTAGGCTTCGCAAACGAAGATTTGGGAAGGGCTCTACCCACATTTGCTACAAGCGCTCTGGTGGCTAAAAAGACCAATGTGAGATAGACAGGTAGTTGTAGAATACTGATCTGCAAAATTGTAAGAAGTTTGGACAAGAACTGCAGGTGCAATTTGAGATCTGAACAGTGTTCTTGGGTATTTCATGAGTACAAAAGGATTGGTGCTCAAGAGCCAAGGGTGGTAGTTAAGAATTCATTTGAAGTCAATCATGTTTCTCAACCTTATTCAGTAAATAAGACTTCAAGGTGCTAAGATGAGTATCCTAAAAGCAAAGGCAAAAAATTAGTACATGGTGAAAACATGCCAATATTTTCTCTGATTTTACTCTAAATAAATTCCTGATTTAATTCAAGTCAATATTTAAATTTCGTTTTGTTACACCAGTGGAAGATTCTCTTCATTCTGGGGTGTGAATTTATACCTGAAGTTACACAACACCGATTTCATGTGAATGAAATTCAGTGTGCAGTGAGTCAGAGGATGGCTGAAAAGCTAGTGAGACTGTTAATGTGAGACTTTACATTTATTTCTACACATGCAGATATATAGCAGATATATTCAATGAATCAGTTTGTGTCTGTCCTGTAAAATAAACTTATATTTTACCCTCCTAAAGAGCACATGGGAAAGAAACTTCACAGGCTTTTCTATTTCAGTGATGAACGCGAGATGTGTATTTATGAGATAATAATGAAGTTCCCTGTCCAATGCCTTTCCCCAAGGAAAAAACTAAAACAGAACAAGTTTCACATGTCCCTTGTTTATCGCACCCAGTGGATTCTAGCAGTATTTGACCGACTGTAGAATGATTATTTGTTTTTCAAAGACCAGTAATTTTAGACGGCGCCAGCTCAGCAAGCCCAGCTCCTGTTGGAGTCCTTCACCCTGAGTACTCAACATTTTATGTCTAAAACTAGAATCTGCTGTCTGGGCTGCTGTAACAGAACAAATTGATTCATGCTAAAACATCATTAAGGGATATATTTTTCCTATAGTGTTTTGCGTAACTTAAAAGTTGAAACTTGGAAACTAAATCTAAACTAAATGACTTAGTTTACTTAAAATTGGAAGGATTGCTTACAGGGGTTTTGGGGGTGGGGAAGCAGAGGGAATTTGGGTTTTTTTTCGTTGCTATGTGAATCCAAGAAAGGGAAGGCAACATTTAGAATTGGGTCAGCATTACTCCAAATAAACTTAATAAATCAAAGAACATAGTTGTAAGAATTGGCAGATGTGAACTCCTTCCTAAAAGTGCTGCCAGTCACTTGGTATTGGCCACAGTCATTTGTGGCACAGGGCCGCTTTGCTTCAACCTACTTAATAAAGCATAGGACAGTCAGAGGAACAAAAGTTGGAATTTGAGGCTGGTTGA